TCTCTGTCAAATAAATAAATAAAATCTTTAAAAAAAAAAAATAAAAATAAAAAAAATAAAATGACCTTGCATAGCTCTATATATTTCTTGAAAAATTTTACAATCTCAACTTCAAGTGTGCTTATAAAATCCTTAAACTTTCTCAGGGAAGAAATCTTCCTTATTTTTCATTTTATTTTCTCTCCCTACTTCAACTGGACTCTTTCCCTTTTTTCATAAACTATAAAACTGGCTTGGTTTGGTTTTTTGGCTCAAAAATTTCTAAACATTCCAACAGGGCTCTGGAAGACATCTACAAGTGTTGGAGTTTTTTGTTTTTTCTAACTCAAATCAATATTGCAACACTGTGACCTTTAGCACAAATGTACCATCAACTGAAACTTAACAGAGGAAACAAAATTCCCTAGCCATCTCCAGGTCTATTACTAACCTCAGAGTTAATTTGTGACCACTCTTTTTAAAAAAAGTTTATAAGGTGATATTGTTGTGGCTGTTTTTCTAGTGGGAGTGGAAATGGGCTTAAACATGTGGCATGAGGAAAAAAAAAAAAGGGCGCCTGGGTGGCTCAGTTGGTTAAACATGTGGCATGAGAAAGAGAAGATTTGGGGGATTTAGAGGTTTTTCTGCATTAAACACCATAGCCTGTAACCCCTCTAATACAGGAGATAATTTGGTTTGGATCTCAGACCTCTTAGACCCTTAATAACAGATTAATCACATGATTAGGATAAATGAAGACCACTCCAGCAACAGAAAGCTAAACTAGATGATCTTTTAAGGCCTAATTATTTCCTGAGAGTCTAGGAAAAAAGAACTTCCAGTTCTGTGAGAAAAGGATTGCTAAATACTGCTAAGGGCAGATTAAAGATCCTGATTCTTTAGACACTTCTCTAGACTCTCCTCCTACTAAGATAGCAGACCTATCTGAGGCTAGGATTTTTCAGAAACTCAGATGAGCAGGACGCCAGGCGAGAATGACATCGCTATAACAAATCCCTTTTTCCCTTCTGCCTAGGCCGCCTTCAATTGTCCTTTAAATTATACAATAAGAATCTCCAGAAAACTTTCCCAAATAAACCCAACTTTTTCCTACTTGCCAAAGTTATCTAGCCAAATGTCTATCCTCATGTGGTCTGGTAAGTAAGTGCAGCTATTGAGTGCATACTTATCCTTGCACACTTTTGGAATGTGATCTTCTCAAGAAATGAATTAAGTCTGTCCAATATTCAGTATAAACAGAATTAGGAGTAAAGTGTAAGAAAGGAGGAGAGAAGGAAACTAACTTTAGTTCAGTGTGTATTACATCACACATGCCTTATGTAAATTGTTTCAATTATTCTGTACAGTGAACCCAGATTATCCTGTACTGCACCATTTCTAAGATGCACATTTTCTCACTTTTTAACATCTCTTAAATCTGGAAGCATCTGACAACTAATGGCATGTCACAATTTTAATTAGCGATCATTTTCTACTGTTAGCAGCAGACAAAATAATGGTGCACCTTAGAAGTGATGGTGTCTCAGATACTATTTTTACGGAACTGGAAAACAGGAATTTAGAAACGGATTAAGAAAAGTGCCCAGGGTTATTACACAGACTGTAAGGGACTAGCCAGACTTCAAATGTGATTTGGTTTGATTCCAAAGTCTTTCTATACAGCCTACCTAACATAGAGACTTTGAACATAGCAAGAATTTTCAACAGTCAGCGTTATTCAAAAACTAGCAACCTTGGGTATTAAGTTTTCAGGGACAGAGGAGTTCACACTGCCTGGTGGAGACACTGCAAATAGTTGGTTAAAGTCCCTGCCAACCTTAAACTTCTAGGAGTCTTCTGGGCTATGCTGACTCTGGGGTGCAGAACCCACCTTTCTGCTATTCCTATAATCTGCAGGGGGGAAAACAACAACAACAACAAGGGACAGCCTTACCCTCTCCCCGCAATTTGCTACTGAGACATTCCTCCTCCTACCTCTCAATCCAGACACTCACTCTCCCAGCTGAGTTAATCCTGGACCACCTCACCTCTCACTCCCAAATAGGGACAGTCTAGATGCCGCCCCCATCCGGCCATTCATCATCGCGGGGGGCAGAGAATTCCCCAGGTTTGCAGGGCTCCCACACCCGAATCTTGGCTCGGCCACGCTACTTAGGCCAGCTGCCCAGATCATGTCCCCACCCCACAAATCCAGCAAAGCTCCTTCCACCCCAGGAGGTCCCCGACTTGGGGCCACACTCTCGCGGCTCCAGGCACCCGCCGAGGTCCGGCCCCGGAGGGCCCAGCCGCGGCCTGGAACAGGACGTTGGGCCCGGCGAGGCCAGGAACTCTCGGAGGCCTGGAAGAGAGAGTCTCGGCTGGACTCACGGAGGAAGGAGCGCGATAGGAGGCGGGCGGCTGCCAGGCCGCTGCTGCCAGATGCCATGATCGCGGTGACAGCGGCAGCAGCAAGAGCTGCGGTCATCCACCAATGACACTCCCAAGCCCCCGAGGACCTGGCAAGGGCCAAGGCTCAAAGAGGAAATGGGTGGCCATAGCAGTCGCCTGAACGAATTTCCCGCCGCAGAGACCTCTTCGCCGAACACTGGGGATCGCAGGTGGAGGGGGGAAAAGGTATCTGAACGCAGAAGTGGACGATAACTTGGCCGTTCCCCGGAAATGGGGCTTTGATCTAACATTCATTACAACGGCAGCTTAGAGTAAACCCCACGCGAGGCCGGTCGGCCCTTAAGCATTATGGGAAATGTAGTTTGGTGGCCTCGACCAGTTTGTAGTTTAAGTAGAGGCTTGCGGGAGGCGGAGCGAGCCACAAAGAGGGTACTCATACCCAGGGGATGGGGTGGCAAGAGGAATGAGGAAATCGTGGCGAGGTGCGAAGAGCAGTGCAGAACTTTTCGTATCCCTAAACCAATCCGCACTTTGATTTAGCTCGGCTGGCATGTGGAGAGGCTAATACTCATCACCGGCCCCTCGTGTGAGGACCTGGAAGAATTACCGATGGTAACAAAGTGAGTTCATGGCTACTGTCCGGTCAAGGTAAGGAAGTGACGAGATAGACCATAAGCTACCTTACTGACACTCAATTTCTTGGAATACGGATCTTTTGGTTAAACAAGCTATGATACAGCCTTTGAGTAGCACTAAGTGAATGAGAGTGACTTTTCCCTGGGGATCCCGGAGGACTGAAGTTATAGATCAAATGTGGTTGCTCCCTGTTTAAACCAACCGGTCACTCCTGTAAGAGCTTTAGAAGGAACCTCAGAGTCCCAGAGGCAAAGGGTAAACAGAAGACAAAGTAATCCATCTCCCTGCCTCCAACCATGTTCCTGAGAGTCCTCATCGTTCTCATCGTGGAATTATGATCCTAATTTACTTAAGTAGTAATTATAATTTACACTGAGCTGTCTGATGTATGAGTAGGATTACCCAACGGAGATTGCCCAATATTTCTTCCATGACCCAGATATTGTCAGCGTGGGGTTGGACTTGACTACTCACAAATGCCTCCTTCATCTAATGTATTGTGTCCTTGCAATCATTTATTTAAATACTATCAATGGCTTCCATATAGGCCCAGTATGAAGACTCATTTTCAATAGCAAAGTTCTTCCTGAGCCTTCACATGATAATAGTTATATCTGCAGTTTTAGTTAATTGGTAAAATGCATGGTGACAAGAAATATAATTCTGGTATGATTTTAATGAATTTTTATTTCCACAACGACAAGGATTTTAGTTTGTTTGGTACACTGATGTATCCCCACCTGGCACAAAAAGAGAATTCATTATTTATTGAGTTATTTTTTGAGCATTATTTGTTGAATTGATAGATAAGAAATACCATATACATTTATTTATTGAATCCACACACAATGTTTAATGGACCTAATCACTCACAATCACTCACAATAACTACACCTCCACCCTAATTCTGTAGCTCACTGGTGGGAGACAGTTGCAGTAGATACCAATTATACTACTCATTTTTATATGCAGATTGATTTTGAAGTCAAACAGACCTGAATTCAAATTCCAGTTCTGATGCTAGCTTATGTTATCTCTGGGTCTCAGGTTTTCTCACTGAGATGGCGTGAAAATCCCTATCTCATAATAGTGTTGTGAGCAGTTAATGCATTAATATGTAAAGTTCTTTGTACCTTGTAAACATTTAGTAAATGGTAGTTATTACTATTAAAGATAAGAACTTTCTTCTTCACGTGGCAGGATATTTTGAAGTTTTTATTTATTTATTTTTTTATTTATTTGACAGAGAGAGAGAGACAGACAGAGAGAGCACAAGCAGGGGGAGCAGCAGAGGGAGAGGGAGAAGCAGGCTCTCCACTGAGCAGGAAGCCCGATGTGGGGCTCAATCCCAGGACTCTGGGATCATGACCTGAGCCAAAGGCAGGCACTTAACCGACTGAGCCACCCAGGCGCCCCTGTTTTGAAGTTTTTAGTGATATGAGTAACCAGATGTGGAATAGGACATTTCCATTTGTATCAAAACTTTGGCTAAAGCCCCAGAGCTGAGGGCAACAGGCCATAAGAACTCCATATTCTAAGGAGGGCAGCCTAGGAGCTAGCTCCCTCCAGATTTTGATAAGAAGAGGTCAAACTTATCTTTGGATCCTCACACTCACATCCTAACAGCTCAAATAAGCAAAAGGACTGGAATTCATTGAACAAGGGAATTCTGAGTCATGAGTTGTCCCCTGAATGCTACCCTCTCCCCTCACCCCTGAGACAGATTGGTGGCAGAGACTCCTTACAAAAAGGACTGGCATTAAATCCAGGCTAAATCCCTGCAGAACCCCAGAAATCCACGAGCCTACCTCAGGGCCCTAGAGCAGATAAAGTCAAAGAGTGCTCAGGAAAACTTGAGTTGGGATGTCATACCTAAACATACAGACTAATGCCTGCTTCCTGACTGGAGAACTCAAGGCACGAGGTTGGCTGGACCAACGCTTGTTTGCAGGCAGGGCATCGTTTGGTATGGCAAGATGTGTAATATTCCCATGGGTAAAATTGATTTCAGAAAAGAAAGCTGAGCTTCCATCTAAGGATCCTCTGCTGGGTCAAGGGACTATAAGCATAAAAGACCATGGAAGATCCTCCAGGGACAGGAGGGAGATGATGGTGGAGAGGGGTTTACAAGAGGTCAGCCAAAGAGTGCATAACTCATCAGGATACTATGCAGATGAAATTTCCTGGGCAGGGTGGGAGGAGAGGAGCCACTGAAAGACTCACAAAGAGCCAGCATTCCAGAGAGTAAGGACCAGAGAGAACCTCAGATTGCACCATTTAAGAGATTTTATCCAAACCTTACCCCACCCCTGCTGGAGCCAAGAGCAAGGGAAGTGAAGAGGAGGAGGAGTAAAAGGAGGAGAAAACAGACCTTGACTCCTTCCCAGCTGAGGTTGTGGAGCCGCAGATCATGCCAGACATCAGAGCAGGTTAAGGAGCTTTGAATTAGGTATAAGATTTATGTTTTGAATTGGATTGAAGAGGACTTAGAATTATTAATTTTTAAAATAGGCTATTTTTCCAATGAATAAAAAATCAAAAGTTACAAAATTTATATAGTGAGAAATCTTCCTTCTACCTGTTTCCCCACCATCTAGTTCTCCCTGGGTGAAATCAATATTACCCAATTTCTTGTGTATCCTTCCAGATCTATTTTGCACATATGCAAGCATACATATATATCCATCCTCCCACCCCCTACATCACCCTTCTATGTTGCCACTAATGTGAGAAGAAAAGAGGACAATTGAGACTTAAGAACAGGGCTGGTAGGGGAGTCAGGAGACCAGCAATAAAGGCAACTAGTGTCCATGCTGACTACCCCAGGGCAGTGTCTTTTTCTGCTTAACTTAACCTGAAGTAGTCCCTGCTCTTTGCAACCAAGAATCTTGACAGGTCTGAGCTAAGTAAAGAGGTTCAATCTATTGGAACAAAGTCTCTCATTTGCATTGTTTTTAAGGAAATAAATCAGCTATAGTCACTGATATTTATAATCCAATCAGACCAGAAAAGAGAATCTGACCAAGACTCTGGTAGATTCTCTACTTGATAAAGGAAATATTTATATATATATACATATATATATGTATATATATATGAGGAGTTATAGTTCTGTATTTTACCTTGATTTTATTATGAGCCCCATTCTGCCAGGATTTCAGATCCATCTCCTTTCATCAGAGTTTTGTCTAAATTTGTGAAGTAGTGTTGGGGTGAGGTGGATGAGGTGGAAGAAGCATTTGATCCTCTGTCCACGCAAGCAGCCCCTCATCTGTGCATCCTTCTATATCATGCCTTCCTCCTACTTGCAACGCTCCTTTTGGTCTGGCTCTATCAGCTATCTCTGGGCTCTTCTCAGACAAGTGAGAACCACTCAGCTCCTCTGGTTCTGTGTTGGACCATAGCAAATATCCCTGCTTGCCTAGACACACCATTTAGCAGAATCTTATAACCAGTCGGCTTTCTCTCTCTCTCTCTCCATCTTTCCATCTCTCTCTCTCTTTCTTGGGGGCAACAAGTTCCTGGGCTATGAACTAAGTCATCTCCCCCCTCCAAATTCATATTTTGAAGTCCTAACACCCAGTTTGACTGTATTCGGAGTAAAGAAGTAATTAAGGTTAAATTAGGTAAGTTAGGGTTAAACACCAATATAATTAGTGTTCTTATGAGAAGACATACCAGAGACCTCTCTGTTCCACCATGTGAGAACATAGTGAGAAGGCAGCCATCCGCAAGCCAGCAGGAGAGCTCTTACCAGGAAACTAATTAGCTAGCACCTTAATCTTGGACTTTCAGACCTCAGAGCTGTGAGAAATAAATTTCTAATGTTTAAGCCACCCAGTCTGTAATATTGCCTTATGGCAACCTGAACACATGAATACACCCTGCTTCATATAACCTTTTTGGTGATTCTTTTGACTACTCACCTCTCTCCACCTTCAAGCAGGGGGGCTGGGGAAAATCAACACCTAAGCTCTCCTGTTCCCTGCCTCTTTCCTAGCCTGGGATCCTTTTCTGGTCTTGGAAACATTAATTCTCATTTTTGGCCTAAATCTAAGTTGTTTCTGTCATTCTCAGGGGCTTTTAGGTACACATTCCTTTCCTGGGGCAGTGGACTGAGAAGGCCAAAAAGAAATTGGTGAGGGCAAGGAGTAGAAATACCAGGGAGAAGAGGGCCAAAGAATAGAAGGAGATACTGGAAGGAAAAGCATCAGTTAATATTACAGATTACCTTCCTGCTTCAATCTGGATGTGCCAAAGCTTTGTGTGCGTTCACCTAGGCAGGCCGACTCTGCCATGTGGAAATGGGACAAAAGGAACCTTCTCTAGTCCCTCAGCTCAGGGTGCTGTAACAAAGTACCACAGACTGGATGGCATATAAGCAACAGAAATTTATTTCTCACAGTTCTGGAGGCTGGACGTCCAAGATCAATCAGGGTGCCGCCATGGTTGGGTTCTGGCGAGGACCCTCTTCTGGGCTGTCTTCTTTATAGCCTCACCTGGCAGAAAGAGGGCAAGACAGTGCTCTGAGGTCCCTTTTATAAGGACCCTGATCCCATTCATGGGGTTCCACCCTCATGACCTAATTACCTCCCAAAGGCCCCACCTCCTCATGCCATCACATTGGGGAGTAGGTCTCAACATAGGAATGGGGGTCTGGGCCTAGTTCTGCCAACTTCTTTCTGGGGAAAAAACAAAACTGCCAGCTGCCTTCCAAAAGGAGAAAAGCTGCCTCATCCTCAGTGATACAGGCACACGAAGAGAAACAAATGGTAGCCATGAGAGGCTGATGAGCCAGCCTGAGCCCTTTAGGCACCACTATAGGTATGACTAATCCCTTCATAAAACAAATGTAGAGAATAGGAGCTTGTATCCTTGGCCTTCCTTATGGAAGATGGTACAACACAAATCAGAAACACTTGACCTCAGACACAGCTTCAGCTTTTGGAAAACTACAAGAAATGAGTCAGAAAGACTGGGGATTATTTTCACCCGAAGTGCAGCTTCAAAGAGAGGCAGAATCACACAGCACAATTCTAAGAACCAGCTAACTAACACCACTGGCTGATTTGAGCAGAGGCAGGCTCTTTCCCTCTCCCCTTCCAGGGATGGGCACTGCCACCTTGGCTGTCTTGAGGACAAAGAACTTTCTGAAATGCACTTGCAGGGCCCTCCTGAGAGCTTCTTACGCTTCTTTGAGTGATTTTCCCACTCAGCATCTGCAAAGGGGAGGTTTCATCTGCACTGGATCCTTACGGGAGTGTCAAGAGCTTTGACCGCCCCTTTAGAGGAAGTGGTTTCCAAATATAATTTCTTTTCCCCATACTTGAGCCCTGTTGCGGAATTGGTGCCCTGAATACCCTGTGCAAGAGTATCCTGGGGCCCAACTCCTGCAGAAGGGAAGGGAAGGGAAGAGAGCAAGGTTGGCAAGAGGGAGAGGTCCAGCTGCGTGCAGGTCCAGTGACAGTCTTGGCCAAAGCCCTTCAGAATTGCCCTGAACTGGGCAAGATGGTCAGGCTTCTATACCCCTGCATGGATTGTCACCAAGATGTGAACAGCCCTGGGAGGGGTGTGATCATATGGTATGGTTGAGGCAGCCGTCTGTGTTCAGGAAATTCCTGAAAGGGTTGGGGGAGCTGGGAGACAGCTGAAGACTCTCTACCAACAGCACTCCCCGTTAAGAGGGCAGCGTGTCCTTCATTGAAGGGGCATCTGGGTGGTATATCACACTCTCCACCAGATGCCCCTTCCAGGAGAAAGTCTGATAAGAAAGCAAGAGTCAGTCCTCAGGAAAACCATAAAGAAGACAGCTTGGTTGAGGGACAGAGTGTCCCTCTTTTCCCCTTCTTTTGAAGGCTGACATGCTGCCCAGTACTGGGTCCGGCCAGTCTCTCACCACCTCGAAGAACTTCTGCAGACAGTGCCCTGTTTCTCAGGGCAATGCTGTCGCCGAGGGATTAAATACACTAGGACTTTGGCCTAGTTTGATAGTCCCTTCCAAGTTACATGTTTGTTGTACACTTTAATAGAGATTGTGTCTTCACACAAATGAGCGAGTCATGTTGAGAATTTCTGGAATTATAGCCAGGAAAGCTGTTTCTCCACCCACCTCTGATCCTTCTAGAATAACTTTCCTTCTTCATCAGGTACATCTTCTGGAAGTTCTCTCTGTCTCTTTCTCTCTCTCTCTCTTTGTGTGTGTGTGTGTGTATTGTTTAATTTTTTTGTAGCAGATGAACATCCAAGATACCAGGAGAGAACAAGATTCCCTGAGACTCTGGAATGTAGCTGAAGACATTGTGACGTGTGTCCTACTCTGCAGCCTGGTAGAAGGGCAAAGAAGGAATTAGTACTAAAGGAGAGAAAAGCAGGGCCCTGGGGCCTATGGAAAAGAAAGGAGAGGATTCTTGGGAAGCTGGTGGTGGCCTGAGAAAGGACTGTAAGGTGGTGGAGAGTGACCCATGTTCCTGGAAGATGAAGCACTCCACAAAAAACGACTCAAACAGCTACCAAGTTATGGCAGCTCTGGCTCAGGCTCCATCACTCATCTGTGATCAACATTTTCATCTCTTGGGGCTATGAAGGCTGCCTTTTTCATTGGGCCTTCATATATTTGTGCAATAAGTGAGAGTGTTGGGCTTTGAAGTCTGATATCCCCTGACAGAAGTTGAAAGGATCTACATGGATCCAAAAGGATGCATACCTTTCAATCCATTCTGAAACATTGTCTAACATACCCTCCAAATTATTACTTCATTCTCTAGAAAGATGAACCTTTATTTAACTTCTTTCATGGTTAATACAAAAGTAATATACTTGTTCATTATAAATTTTGCAGATAATTTCTACTTTGGGATTTATTCTTTTCAATATCTTCCAAGTGTTCTCCAAGGTTAACATATTATTTTTTATAACGAGAAAAAAATCAATAGTTTTGTTTTTTTTTATGGATGAAATGATGTGATTAGGACCCAGACTGTGTGAAGCTCTCTGTTAGCTTGTAGATTTTTGTCTGGTAGAGATGTAAATAATTTCTATCCAGCAGAAAACTCAACCCTCAAAGTTTATGGTATCATTGCCCTGTTGGATATTTCCCAGTTGTATATGTCACTTGGATATCTCTGTGCCTCACTTTCTTCTCTTATCTGTAGGGCTAATAATAGTACTTATCTCATAGGTTTGTTGTGTGGATTAAATGAGATATTCCACATAAAACTCTTAGAAAAGAGACTATAATTGATGGTAAACACTCAATAAATGTTGCCTATTATTAAAAGCTCATTTAACTGAAAAATCTAGGGTGTATCCTTCAGGTATAGTGCAAGTAAGTCATGAGGTCTCACGTCCTCAGAATTCCAACCGAACCCTTCACTAAGAGAATGCTTCTGTCCTGACTCCTCTAGCAAGAACATTGGGACTACGCGATTGGACAGACTTGGGTGCACTTTTCAGTGCTGGGGCCGGGGGGGTGCGCAACAGCGGGCAGCAGGTGTTTCAGGTGGAGGCAAAGGCACACAAGAGACTCTGGAATCTGTGTCCCGCTATCATGGATTAAGACCCTAATTTTGTACACAACCCCAATACCCCTGCTTATCTCTACTTCATGATTTTAGGCTAAGACTTTCAAATGCTTAGTAACAGCTGACACGGGATCTTTCCTTAGAAAGGATTTTCTGTGAACTTAGCCCCAAAACAGGCAAGATGAAATAATAAACAGAAAGGAAACAAGATTTAAATTGGAAAACAAATGAAAATATCCTCTACATGTCCACCCAGTTCTGGTGAAGGTGACACAGCTCACGAGCATATGGGACAGAATATACATGGGCTTCACCATCAAACGGTCCGGAACTCAGACCTCCGCCATGGCACTCACAGCAGTATCAGCTCGGAAAAATCACCTACTCTCTCTGAATCTCAGATTCCTCACTTATTTTTAATGAAGTTCAAAGAGCGATTCATATGCTCTGCTTTGTTCCCCATATTCAGAAAACAGCAATGAGATCTGACATTCTGTTCCTCTTGATGTTTAATGAGTCTGAAGGAGGCAGAAAATGACCCAGCTGGCTGTTTTCTCTGAGAGAAATCGGTGAGAGCGGTCCAGGCTGCCGAAGTCCATGTTCTCAGGAAACACTGATTGCTACGCCCCCGTCTCCTACCGAGCAGTGTCCCAGTGATCCTGGAGTACTGCTTCAAGACTAGTCCACCTTGCAGATCCACCATCCTCTGTTTTCGGTGACGCAATTCCCAAACAATTGTCCCTCCTCTACACCCACCTCAAAGAGAGGTCACATCCTGTGAGCCCAAGTTGGTCCACCCTACTTATCTAAGGGAAGCTGTTTTCAAAAGTTCCCAGGTGATTTCTTGCCTCTGCCTTTGCCATGACATAGGTGGCAATTTCTCTTGCTAAAGAAGAGGAGACCCCCCCCGCCGCCCCGTACACACACACACACACCTTCACAAATTTAATCTCTGGGGAGTACCCCTCTTGTACGGCTTCCATAAACCATACATTTTTTTATATAAAATATGGATCATAACACCTACCTCCCGGGGTTATTATAAGGAAGAGAAGAAACAATATGTACAAAAAGTACATTGCACACTTCCTGGCACATGTAAGGTCCCTGGTGGTGTTAGTTCACCTTTCCTCTGATGAAATTAGTTATTTTTATGGTGGTATCGGAGCTGACATTTAAGTAATGCCTCTGAGTAAAAGAGATAACCAAAAGTTTTAGATCTTCCTGAAAGTGACATAAAACCAGACAGGCACTTAATGTATCAAGCTATTGAATATGATCAACTAATTTTTTTTTTAAAGATTTTATTCATTTATTTGACTCATTTTTAAAAAGATAGGGGTGCCGGCCTAACTCAGTTGGGAGAAATGTAACTCTTGATCTCGGGGTTGTAGGTTTGAGCCCCACGTTGGGCATAGAGATTACTTAAAAATAAAATCTTAAAAAAAAATAGAGTGCTATCTGTTGCCTCCTGAGGAAGCTAACAGCAGGTTGTCTTCCTGGAGCCTTAAGCCCACCTGCTGGATCTGTCCAGCCCAGTTGTCCTCACTCATGACAGGAAGCAACCCAGATTCACAGCTCTGGTTTTTCCAACAACTACTCTCTGGAGGCAGCTCCTCGGAGCAGACTTGAGTGTCACTTATCAGGGTCTGGCAGATGTGGCTCTGAATGGCACTCTAGGTTTTGCAGTCAATTTGTTCTCGTTGTCAGAGGCAATCACAGTGTTCCAAGAGACCTTCTGTACATTCAGACCCCCAGGTGGAAGCAGTTAAGAGTTAAGAACACAGGTGTCAGGTGTCAGATGGGGGTGAGGGGGTGGCAAACACAAAGCAGTGAGGGCAACAGGTTTCATTTAACTCCGGGTTCTTCTCACATTCCATTTTATTCTGAAAATTAATCAGAACTGGGGAAGCAAAACCCCTGTCATTAAAAACAATATGCGAACAGGAGTGAAGAGAAACGCCATGCCCTAAGTCATATATTTAGAATGGAACAGATCAAGGAGTACCCCCCCCACATCCCTGAACCTGGTCCGCTCTGAGTCAAAGCAACCGTTGGAGCCAACAGGGACCACTGGGGCATTGGCTCAGGGATGTTTCTTCAAGATCTAAGCTATCAGAATCTCACAAGTGAGGCATCTCAGGAATTTATATTTTTAAAAAGCTCCCCAAATGATCCTCATGTAGCTCCTGGCATATGGCAGCTCCCTGCTTTTGACCAGTAGTAGTTCTTAGGAGTTCATGCTCAACGCCTTGGTTATACTCTTTATGCCATACACATGAGCAGTGCCAGCAGGTCCTGAGGACAACAGCATGTTGCAAAGAGAAACAGTGTTTCAAAGTATTTACCAGTTGGGAAACAATTAGAAATTGGTTCAATCATGTTGGGTTGTTTTCTTTCTCTCTCTCTTTGCTGCCTTCCCCCACCCCCATGTAACAGTCATCTGGCATGATCATGAGAGGACGAGAAAGAGGACAGCAAAGTCTTTCATTGTTTTTTGTTTTTGTTTTTGTTTTTTAACTTTTATTTTGAAAGAATTACAGATTTACAGGAAGTGCAATGATAGTTCAGGAGGTGGAGGATGCCTTGTTACTACTGAATGGTGGTGAAAGTTCGGCTTCCCACTTGGCCAATTCTGGCACCACCCAGGAAGGGAGGGGGAATGGCCCCATTATTGCTGGGTGGGGATGGACGTCCGGCATCCCACATGGCTTTCACTGATACCCTTTTGGGGGAGGGGGAGCTTTATTATTACTGAGTAGGAATGAAGGGCCAGCTCCCCACCAGGTCTTCTTTGAAGGGGTAGGGGGTACCTTGAGCAAGGATGGAAGTTTAGGTCACCCCCTTGGCCTTTGTTGACAGAGGTGGGGATGGGCCCTGTTTTTTTCTCCATACTGTTTGGCTGGGGTAGAGTGGTGTCTTTGTTCAGAATGCTATAGAAGAATACCATAACCTGGGTGGCTTATAAACAAGAGAAATTTATTTCTCACAGTCTGGAGGCTGGGAAATCCAAGACCAAGGGGCTGGCAGATTCACTGATGAGTGCTCACTTCCTGGTTCATAGACAGATGTGTCTCCATGTCCAAAAATCTTCAATCACCATAGGATAAATGTTTGTGAGATACTAAGTGCTAAAAAAGAAGTTAAAACTGTGATTTTACACAATATCAACTTGGTGAGATAAAGTAGAAAATATTTTATCTTAACTGCTAGCACTTCACCCCAAACTGTCTTTTCTGCCTCATTTCCCATTACAGACATTAGCTTATCCTACACATATCTTTACAGTACTCAACCTCTCAAGCATATCCTAACATTTTCACAATTCTGTGAATTGTACCTTTGCTTTAATTATAAAATAAAAGAACTCTGATATCTTGAGAGGTCATCAGTGGGGAATAAGCCTTAAATGATAGCAAAATAAATGTGAAGTTTTAGGAAAATGTAAGAAGCCATTGAAGTCTCCCCCCTGATGTGGAAAAGATGTTAGGATTCAAAGCCAATGGCCAAGAATTCTTGAGGTGTTGGTGCAAAAAGGTGGTTTTATTAATGAATGGGGACAGCACCTGTGGGCAGAAAGAGCTGTACTGGGGTCAGGAGGAGGGGCCCATTGTATACTTTCAAGTTGGGAGGGGGTTAGGGATAGCACAAGCCTCCAACATATTTTGGCGACAAGGTTTCCAGGACCCTGAGGGGCTAGCTAATGTTAGGAAGAGGTCATTTATTACTGTTTAGTAAACCCTCAGTTAAGAAACCCTTCAGATGTATATCGATGGGTTATATGCTTGGGGGAGGATTGCCAGCATGTATCTTGGTGGGGGGTAGAGATAAAGGAAGTTTCCAAAGGAATTTTTATATGTTAAATAGACTTACAGGATCCTGGGGGGCCGGCTAAGATTGCCTTTTGCCCTTAGCAAAGTATTAACAGCGAGGCAGCTGAGTCCTTAGAGGAAGGCCACTCTACCTGTTTCAAGGACTTGTCAGTGGGCTGTAGGCAGTAAGGACATTTAATAGTTTTTCCTCTGCCTTTGTTTCCCACATTACCCCAACCCCCATTGTCAATGCCTGAGGCTACCCCTTCCCAGCTATCCTCACCCTTCAGCCTGCAGACTGCTTGCTTGTTACTTCCTACACCTCAAGCAGCCTGCTGCCCCCTGGGTGCAGTTGCGGGGAGGGAGGGAGGGGAAGGGCACACTGTGATCGTCCAAGGCCTTAATCTGCCTCACCACTTTGAGCTGGAAAAAGTAAGGAAAGGGCATCCAAAGGGAGGTGCCTAGAGCTTGATAAGTAGCTGAATCATCTTGTCTGCTGGTTAATAGCTA